GCTCCCTCCACAAGCCCAGAGCATGTCGGGGGAAAGAGAGGGCCTAACAGCATGGTAGTTCCATATTGCCACTGCTTTGTGACTGGAGCCAAGAAAAAGAAGAGAGCGTCTCTGGGTTTCTCAATTCCATGTCCTTCTGTGAAAACCATGACACTTACTTTTCATAATTTAAAATCCTGCCTTACTCTGGGAGCATTAGAATTCCTAGACTATGACTGAGTATTAGTGTGCGTCTGCTTTAAATGTCAAGAGAGTCTTTAATAATAACATGTAAGGAATGTTAAGATGGTGACAGAGTACAATAAAAGTAGGGAAATTCTTCGATTGGGGTGAAATGAGCCATATATTGCCCACCACCTGAATGCTGTAGTTGGTGTGAAAGAAATCATTTAAAAGTTTTTCACTGGTACTAAGTTCTGAAGCCATAGTTTGACAAGGCAGATCAGAAGTAACTGGTAAATGCTCAGTTTGGTAGAGTAATTTGAGTTCTGCTCCTTCTAGTCACTGCTTTTTCTCCCCCTTGTTTTCTTCTTTTGATCATATGTACTTTAGAGACCTGTGTTATTGGATATACCCTACCTAAGTAACTGAATATGCTCTGCCTAAATCGGGTTAATCTGGATCATCATTGCATAATAAACTACTGAGGAAACCTGTTAAGTTTTAAGGCCTTCTCTATCCATGGCAGAGAGTAGTGTCTCCCACTTAACTTGATTTAACTTGGACACTTCGGGTCCTTATTTAAAAATACCTACTTCCAGGTCTCACCATTGGAGTGTTGGCTCCAGCACATTTAGGTGAGACCCTAGTCAGTTAAATTGGAGATCATCATTGTGTGGGATAATCTGAACTCATCCATTCATTTAGGGGCCTGTTAAAACTCCATGTCCCCCCTTCCATGGAGGTTCTATGAAAAGACATTACTTTTCATAATTTAAAATCCCACCCAACTCTGGGAGCAGTTGTTCAGCATGACAGCTGAGAGAGAGACTAACACTTGTAATTTCAGTTATTGTTCCAGGTGATTTTTAGAATCACACTAGTGTGGGAAACTCAGACAAAGCATCATATAACTGAGAACCTAGTCTTACTTCTCCCTCTTCCCAGTTCACTGACGTCAGATATGTTTACCTTGCAAACCTCAGTTTCCCCAATTATAAAACAGAATAGGACTAAGGGACTTGAAATAGCCGCAGTACCCTCTTTAAATCAAAGGAGTGTCTTCACCCTTTCTTCTCATCTGTCCTCAAGAATTCTGGCATTTTTACACATACAAAGCCTTTCATTTATTTCAGCAGAGTTTTGTTTCTCATGAGTGAGAACCACCAAATTGGCCTTAAAATGATTAGTCCTTCTGACAACATAGAAAATGGTGATGTTAAATGAACCCCAAACCATGTTCCCTTTTCTCTGTTAAAAGAATGAGTTTAATCTCAGTTTGTATCTTTGAGGATGCTGAATGGAGCTCCTAGCCTTTGGCAGTTATCAGTGGCTTGGGTGCAATACACATATTCTGATCTTCCGCAGCCCAGACTATCTCAAACCTAATTTGAGGCCATGGCTAATCGAAGAGGAGATGACCTATTTCAGCCAAAGGGTAGAAAATATTTGCCCA